TCTGATGGCCATTCCAGAAAAAGAGTTCCAAAATTGCTTTAAAGGGTGGACTAGGCGCTGGAGTCAGTGCATAGCTTCCCAAGGAGGTGCATCAAAGGTGACCTTAGTGATATTCAGCAATGAGGTATGGAACACTTTTTCTAGGATGAGCTTGCGAACTTAATCGTCAGACCTTGTATATAAGGAAGGACACTTTATGTTTAATTATCTATTAATTTGGATCATTCAGGAAACATGAGAAATGTGCCTATGCTATCCTTGAATCAAATCACAATAAAGAGAATTTTAATAAAAGGAATTTCACATTTAAAAAAAAACGTGGCATTAACCTATTAGTAAAACAAGAGCAAGTAAAGTGTGACCCAAGGAAGTATCATAAGGCAGGGTGTGGTTATCAGCATGGCTCGTGTTACTGGCTTTCTGGTGAAGAGTAAAATCTTCAAGAAGCAGGAGAGAAAAATAGATATATTGGGTCGTTGGAAAAGTCATGACGCATTTTTGCACCGAAAAACATAGAAAAATACATCATGACTTTTCCAACGACCCTATATAAGCTAAAAGACAGGCATGCACCATCTGGGAGAACCTGATAAACAGTGAAAGAAGTTAAGTGATAGCAGGTCCTTAGAGTTTCAATGGAGCTCATGCTGGTACCTTATTTTGGGGGGGTCCCTCTCACTTCCAGGATGAGAAAGTAAAGGTGCGGAGTAAATTAGACTTGGCTTTGAATCCTGGCTCACTACCTGGGCTTCCGTAGGCAAGTTATTTAATTAATCTCTTCCCAAGCCTCAGTTTCTTCATCTATAGGACAGACCTATGAACACTGGATTGATGTAAATGAGATTAAATGAGAATGAATATAAAGGGCTTCGAACAGAGTCGTGGTACTGTGACAAGTTAATGGATTTCCTCTTGGAGGACAGAGGACCTTGAGGACCTTTCACTAATGAGAAGGCGCTTAATAACTCAACTTACCTTTTTAATCTTTTTGTCTACACCAGGCTGAGTCTGACCCACACACTTGTACAGATTACGGCGTTCAATATTTTTTAAAAGCTCTCGTGCTGCATCCAATCTGGGATCAGTAGAGTATAAAATCTCCAGAAAAATGTTATCTGCCAATTTGATGAAATTTCAGTTACATGAAAATGAAAAAACAAGATTTATAAAGACTCATCCATTGCCGTACTTCTAAAGTAATTTCAAGCAGTTTACAAATGTAGGCACACTACGATCATCACAATGTGAACATCTTTTTTAAAAGACTGAAGTGAAAAAAAAAATCTTTGTAAAAANCTGGCATCCCAAGCCAGTTCTTAACCATCGTGCCACTTGACCGGCCCCAAAACAACTTTTAATGTTTGCATTATTCCACTGTATTTCCTTTGAGAGACATATACATTTTTTTTCTAATTTCACACGATAATAATGCCACAATAAATATATTTGTACTTTTTTGCAAAATTGATTATCTCCTTAGGTCAGGTCCCTAGAATGAAATTGCTATGTCAGTTAAAATTGACCCTCGTTTGGTCTCTGGTATCAATTTACACTCCCTTTATCATCATAAACCTTTATCATCACAAAATCTTATACAATTTTTTGCTGTTGTTCTTACAAGTCTGATAGTCAATGAAATCTTTCATTACTGCATCAATTTGCCTTTAGGTTAAAAAGGTGAAACTTCTTTTCATGTCTACTGGCCAAGTGTATGTCATCTTCTCCTATGCGTGGCCTCCTCAGGTACCTGTGAACCTACATCCACCGGGAGGTTGCACTTTGAGAGAAAGGCCAGATGGAAAGTCCGGAATTGACTAGGAGTAGTGCACTGCGTTGAGGGTGATAATAGTGGCCCCAGTAATGCACTGAGGTGAGGGTAAGGGCAGACATCTGAGAGCCAGGGAAAACATTCTGGAAAGTGAAGTCTTTCAGAGTCTAAGGAAGTCAGGATGTGAGATCTCTTTATTCTGGTGGAACCTCATCTAATGAAACAGGAAACTACAACCTGATCTGCTGATCTGAGGCACTTTAACATGCAGCCAAGTGAATAGAGATGGGCCCTCTCATTGTACCCCTTGGCCAAGAATGGTTATTGAGAGATCATTCTTCACTCAAAGACGTGTCAAATAGGAAAATAACAAATGAGAGGCTTATGAAAAAAATACATAAGGAACACAGTCCCCAGATTTCAAAGGAGTAGAACTCTGAAAAGAATTTCCTAGAAGAAACAGAAGAAAATATGAGAAAGCCATTTGGCATTCTCATTAGGATACAAGAAGACACTATAGCCTCTATGAAAATAGGAGTCAGAAAGTCTTTGTATATAGGTAATTTTAAAAAATAATTGGCATGGGGCCGGCTGAGTGGCGCGTTGGTTAAGAGCTGGTTTGGGACGCCAGCTCTGAGCAGCAGGACCCCCTTTGGATCCCACATGAGGGCCAGTGACACTGCCCTCTACAGCTAAGATGGTGAACAACAGCTCAACTGGAGCTGGGCTGCCGTGAGTCGCTGGCAACA